TCGCGCTAAGCGGCCATCTTAGCGTAGCCCGCGCATGCGCCAGCCTTCCCATCTGCTGTCAGTCTTGTTCATTGCCTGTCCTATTCTCTCTCACCTGTATCTGATCTCCCAGCAATCTACTATTTATGCATCTGCCGTTGCCTAGGGGATTACCGTACAATTCATTCAACATGTCCTGCAGTTCCTCTGAACTTCTATTTCACTCAGTTTTGATGTCCTGATTCATTTAGGCTTCTGACTTCTGGTATCTGCCTGTTACATTGTCAATGTTTTCCCCATCCTGTTGCTTATTCCCTTGTGTAAAGCTTAGTTTTTGTCTGTTTAGTGCTGTCCACGTGAAGCTGTCTGTACACTGGATAGAAATCTATTCCATGTGTTTGTGTCTGAGCAGTCTAAATTAGTCATTTTTTGAGTCTCCTTATTATATGTATTCAGATTGGCTCAGTCTGCAGAGAAAGATATATGACTCATGCAAATATTCTGGATAAGTTATGAATCAGCCATTCTCTTGGTTCATTCATCCCTAGCCTTTGAGTTTGTGCACGCACTGTGCAATTATTATTTGTTAGCATTCTGCTTGTCTTAGTATATATAAAACCCTGTATGTACTTTACCCAGCCTCGTGGGTTTCTGTCCAGCCTCAGCATTAATAATGCAATCAATGGGGAAAAGTGTATGGTCAGCTTTATCCTAGCCTTAGTTTGTATACCTGGCATTTGTGCCTTGTGTTACTCCCTTTCTCTGATTTTCTTTTGATTCTCATTTTAGCAGTTCAGTTTTTATCCCATATGTTATTCTGTTGACCTCTTACCACTGCTGACTGTCTGGATTTGACTATTGGCTTTCCTTGTTGAAAGAATGATTTGATAATATAATACCGGTCCTCTTTAGAAATATATGTTAAAAGTCAAAAAAGTATTAAAATGAGTATTCAGTAGATTTTCAGTCTATGTCTGCTTTTTGTTTATCTGTATTGTACTCTGCACTTTTCTTATGGTATAGTGGAACTTGCCGTTAGTGATAAGAGTTATCTATGACTAATGTTATATGACTCCAAAATGTGTCTGTTTATCTATTTGTCAAGACACTGCCTCTTTTCAGTATGTGCTTATATGGTACAAAGTTTAAATGTTGATTCAGCTTTCTATACAATATAAAAAACTCAGAAGCTGTTCCAATAAACTGAACATAATTTTGAATCAGCCTGCTTGTGTTTGGTTCATTTCTGTGTTCCCCGAGGCCTCGAGAAGAAGGAATCAGAATCCCCCAGCCGTGTGCTCAAAATTTACTTTCACTTGTGAACCCTGGTCTTGTTTGACCTCATTTGTGCCATAACTACCTGTTTAGTTTTGATCTCTTGTCTGTCTGAGACTTCACTTTGTCTGAGCCCCTGGTATAGTGTCGCTCTTCTGGTACTGACCGTTCTCTGCCTGCCATAAGGGAAAGTCAACGCCGTCCAAACTTGATAGCTTCTAAATATGGATGAAACATAATGAGGGGAACTTATCAAAACTGGAGCAACTGTGCATGGCAACCAATCAGCTTCTCTCTTCAGCTTGTTCAGTTAAGATTTGAAAATGAAAGAGAGAAGCTGATTGGTTGCCATACACAGCTGCTCCAGATTTTGTCTGCTCCAGTTTTGATAAATTCCCCTCAATGAGATTCCCCCAAATGTTGGCTAGCTTGGTAAATGCAAAAAGCCCTAGTCTTGAACTTCTGTCTGTCTAATTTATGAATGCTATCGCTCTGCCTGTCTATCTCCAAAATTTTCAATCATGGTTCGCATAGGTCTTCTTATGAATACTGTACGCATAAATATTTTATTGCCAAAATACATCATTAATATTTAATGTAACCATTGGATCTAAAGAGTCATATATTTATGTAGCTTCATGAGAGACTGTCTTACATGAAGATTAAACATGCTAGAAAACACTGATGTATAAAGGAGGAAAGTGACATGTCTCTGAGGTTAGTGCTGTTTTTGCCAGAATGAATATGAGCATCTTAAATTTAAATCTTAGAGCAGACAGGGCATATTATTAGTGCCTGCTGTGAGATGTCTGCTAGACTGTCTGCCACTGTGCTGTGCGTAGAGATAACTCTTCTCAGCACAGTGTGTCAGCTGAGTCAGTTCTTGCATTCCGGCCATGAAGAGAGACAAGGCAGCATGTATTTGTTGGTGTCCAACATGTTTTACCTCTTACTACTACTTCTTGTGCGAGGCCTACAGGGTGTTAATCATTTAGCCTCAGAAATTACTTCTGATCAGAATTTAGTCCTATTATAATGTCTATGTGTTTCATGTGTTATTGTTTTTAACATCACAACACAAATGACAAGCCTCCACAACAAAGACGATAGGAGGCACCTAGACTATAGCCCCTAAATAGAGATGAGCTGTTATGGAACAATACCTAAAAACATCCATAGACTGCTTCCAGACAGTAGGATCGGATAGCACATCTATCAACTGGTAGGTTCTTCTAAGCCAAATCTTCCTGTCAATACCAATGGAAAAGGAAGAAGAAGGATAGTGGTACTGGCAGATACCACCAGTGCTGTTATCTTGGGGGAGAGGGGTGAGGGGGGGGTGTTAAACTGTAATGATTAAAAAAAATCTACCTGTTAATACCAATGGAAAAGGAAGTAGAAGGATAGTGGCAGATACCACCAGTGCTGTCATCTCAGGGGGGGGGTCAACAATGCTTGATGTGTTCTATGCAGTTGTTCTGCCATTTTCTGAACATCAAACTAGATATTTCAGTGGTGACATACCATGCAGTGAAGGGCTTTGATTGCATACGAGCTGCATCTAATTGTTAACACATCATAGACAACTGGACCATTCACACTGAAGCACTGCATATGTTCCATGTTACAGTTCATAGCAAAATAAAAAAGAAAAGAAACAATATATTGCATAATTTCCCATAGAACATTAAAAATGAAAGCTAAGCATTTTCTAACATCCAGAAACCATTCATGGTAAGGCTTCATTCACAGGTGCGATTTGGTATTCCTGTGTCAGGAACTTGTGATCTGATGCAGCAGGAATTCCAAATATTCCATTTACAAGCGGCAGCTGTCACCTATTCAAGTTCAAGTTCAAGATCGGATGACAGCAGCTGCATTTGAAAGTGGCAGAAGGCTGGCAAATGTAATTGTATGTCACCTGAGCATTAACCTGAACGGGTGACAGCTGCCGCTTGTAACGGAAGATTTGGAATTCCTGCTGCAGGAGATCGCAAATTTTGACACAGGAATACCAAATCGCACCAACCTGGTAGGTGTGAATCTAGCTTTAGAGTTTTTCATCACCCACAGGGACCATGGGGAACAAACGTAGCCACCCTCCAGAAGGAAGGACATTGTCAGCACCAATTCAGAGATGATTTGAGGATCTAAACCTGAGTGATACCCAAATAAGCTACATTTTTAAATATAATTTCAAGGGTACTTGAATGCATTTGCAAGATTTGTCACTTCAGGGGTAAAAAGTAATACTTTCTTTCAGCATAATAGAAATAAATAACAGTATCTACAGTCAGGGGCGTCCAGAGGAGCAAACCTGAGAGAGAAAGTTGTCTCTCAGTTATGCTCCTCTGCTCATTGGGCGGGTGCAATAGCCAGCCTACTATTGGCTTTTGCAATTTGAAATAGACGAGGGACGCCGTGGGGGGTGAATGGTAAAGGCGGCACCCCAGGTATCAGTGCGCCTTAGACGGCAGCCTAGTTTGCCTAGTGCAGGGGTAGGCAAACTTGGCTCTCCAGCTGTGCTGAAAATACAAATCCCATCATGCTTCTTTCTATACGGTAAAGGAAGAGATAAATTAATAATTTAAGAGTGAAGAAATATTAGTTCTTATTTTTAATAGTGAAATACAGTTGTAATAGAAGAAGGTAACTAAATTAAACATTCCTTGTTAAATCTTAAGCCCAAAAAAGTTTTGTTCTGCTCAAACCAAAGTCTGTAAAGTTGACTTAGAATATGATACTTTTTCTTGGGACTCTGCAATAGTGTATTTTGTCACATGTTTTCTATTTAACACATAAAAAAATCAGACGTGGTAGCAATAGTATCTGTATTTATGACCTTACCTCAAATTTCTTGTCATAGCAGTTACACCGTGTGTCTAAATATGACTGAGTAGCCCAATAGACTCCATTATTTGACCATGCCACCCAGTCCACTCTGCAATCTAACAAACCTGGTCAGACTCTCTTCTCTTACTCTCCAATATAAGTCTGTGTGTGAATAGTTCTGATGAGGGGTATGGCTGTTACTCAATTACTGTATGTCAACATACAGCACTGCAGTGAGAGAACAGGAAGTGCATTTCCACTAATGGAAAAAGGATATTTCAAGAAATTTCCAAGCAAAAACCAGATAAAAATCAATTAATTAAATGGTTCAGAACCACAAAATGTAAAAACGGTGCAAGACATCCAATGGAGTTTAAAAAAAAACAACATAGCCTTTAGTCACAGTACAAACATGTAGCAAAACCTGCTTGTACAGTAATTCTGTCATGAGGGAAACATAGGTCAATTGCTGACCTCCTTAAGAAAATTGCCTGGCTGGTATGTTGACCCACTGGCTGCAATGCTTTCTAATGCACTAACCTTTAATAGGAAAACCCATAAGTCTTATAAGTCTAAAATGATTTCATACTTGTTCTAGAGATTGAAGTAAGAAGGTCAGCTTGACAATGAGGCAATTAGCATTTTCAAAAAGGGAGGCCAGGAATGGCAACTTCCATGTTCTTCTCACAACAGGTTTAAACGGTCACTTTAAAAATGAACCGGCAATTTACACCTGCGAAAGAGTTCTGGTAGAAAGGATCTAAAAAAAGATTAATGCATGTAAGCACTCGCCAACGAGTTAATCTTTACTTACTTAACAGATGGCAACAAAGGGCCTGTGACCTACTCTTCATGGTATCATCTGCTCCTTCTTGTCCGCTAGTTTACTCGTCATACTGTCTAGATAAAAAAAGAAAAATGGAAAATTCACATTAGCATTTTGAACATTACTTTAGGAAATTTAGCAACTCTCTGTGTGTTCTATTCGTAAATGAACAGTGTGCTGTCAATTTGCCTAATGCAACTCTTGGTTCATCTTGGTTTACAAGTTAATGTGGGCTTTTTTAGGGTTTATATATTTTTTACAATTGTTTAATGAAGAATAAGAAAATGTATCTTATTGACTCACACACATTTCACCCTTTCTTAGTCTAAATTAAAGTGTATAGTAAAAGAAAGGTGTGCTAAGGGCATCGGGTTCAATTCTTTTTCACCCAATTTTCTTTTCTGTGGCATTGTACTCAGGACATTAGGTACATAAAGAGCTGATGGTAAAAGAAAAATGTTTTGAAGCAATGGCAGAAAGCCCTGAATTACAAAAAGCACACATAGCACATATACGTAGCATATAGAGCAACAGCAACTGGAATAACTGGGTTCAAGATAACCACTGTAGATGCAGCTGTCCCACAGAATAACTTCTTCTTTTTGGTAACACAAGGTCGATCATCTTCTTTAAAGCACAACTCCAGACAAACATTAAAAAATAAAAAGAAATAGCCCAATAAAAGATAAAAGGAAAAAAGCAGCTTTTGCTGCAATATTCACCTTTAAGCCAGAACTTTACCCCATAATACTTATTTTTAACCACAAGATGCCCCTGTCTCATGGCCAGCATCATTCAACCTACTTCCTCTGAGCCCAGGTCATCCTCGACCTGCCCCAGCATGTCACTGGACAGTGAAAGAGGAAGGACCACAGGAGTAGAATTTATTAAAACTGGAACAGTTAGAATCTGGAGCAGTTGCCCATAGTAATCAATCAGCTGCTCTCTTCAGTTTATTCAGTTAAGCTTTAAAAAAGATAGATTGATTTGAGGATCTACAGCTGAGTGATACACAAAAAGGCTACATTTTTGTTAATAGTTAGGGTGCTTGAATGTATTTTTAAGATTTAACTCCTAAGTTTAGTGTCGCTTCAATTCCATAATTCAAGTTCATAACAGTTGGTCATAATCCATCCCTTCACTCTTATTTTAATAACCAGTGCAGACATTGTCACCGTCAACGTGATTTGAAATTTTACTAGGTGTGCAAAGGGTGATGGGGATTTCATTAAAAGGAATACTTCATAGAAATGATAGTAATGGGGTAAATTTGAATATATCTTTTTTTATTTTTTGATATATTTTTCAAAAAAATAATATTATTCTTAGTATGTAATGACAATAAGAATGTTAACAAAAACCTTCACTATTTCTATACATAAAGCTCTTACAAAATCCAAATACAAAATGGCAAAATACATATAGTTATAAGCTTCAATGTCTTCTAGCTCATGGTTTCTAATCTAAAAAAAATGGATTATAGTTATGCATGGTAGAACACATTCCTAACCAAGAAGAACATATTGGTATCTTCCATAAGGTCATTTAAATGATAAATGTGACTTATTTGATGCTACTGAGCTGAGTTTTATTTGCTTTGCTCCTCAAATGACAATCAATTCCTGAGCTTATATACCATGGTGTTGAACAGAGGAAAACCCATTTAATAGATTATTGAATGTGGTCATGCTTTGTAAATGCTTTGTACTTACAAGGGCAAGCATAGATCAACAGATCAAATTACTAAATGGTTACTTGATTGATACCTGAATGTTTTTTTTTAGACTTTATTAATACAAATTTAAAGGAGAACTATGGGGTCAGTGTTTTTCCCCATAGTTCTCCTTGGGGTAACGGGAGGACACAAACTAGCGTCCTCCCGTCACCCTAAGCTCAGTATACCGCGAGCTACAGCTCGCGGTATACTGAGACGCCGCACCTGGAGCGGATCCCGACTTAGATGACGGGATCCGCCCAGCTGCGTGAGTGACAGCTGGCTCTGCCTATCTAGAGGCAGAGCCAGCTGTACCCGCCCCCTCTCCCGTCCGTTCCGCCAGTCAGCGCTGGCAGATCGGAGCGGGGAGAGGGGAATCCAGCCCCTCCCCCTGTCACGGCAGAGACCCGTGACAGGATCGAGAGGTGAGGGAACCCGGTATGTTTTCCCTCACCTCCCGATCTACTGAGCCGACCTGTGACAGTCTCATTGTCACAGGTCGGCTTAGAACTATGACGTGAGTGGAAATCACTCATGTCATAGTTCTCCTTTAATAGAAGAAAGGGACCTCATGATTATAATGATGTGGTGCATATATCACTGTATACAGTATATTAGCTATCATCTAAATATACAATATAAACACTGAATGCTTCAACATAATCAAACAAAGCTAAACTAAAACTAGCCATATATGCAGCAATAGGATCATTTGGAAAAAGGCTGGCCCTTTGATGTGCCTCATTCCACCTCAAAAAACCCTCTAACATTTAGTGGGGGGAATCTATCAAAACTGGAGCAGACAAAATCTTGAGCAGTTGCCCATGGCAAGCAATCATCATCTCTCTTCAGTTTGCTCAGGTAAGATCTGAAAATGAGACAGATAAGCTGATTGGTTGCAGTGCAAAACTGCTCCAGATTTTGTCTGCTCCAGGCTTGATAAATTCCCCCCAGTGTGTGTTAAGATACCTATTGAATTTGAGTGCTGGAGTATCAATAGAGGATTACAGAAGTTTGGATGCAAAAATTCCAACCTACTATTTTGCTGGTGATGACGTCAACAGACCCCTACATGTGGATGTGGTTCTCAAGATAATATCATAGTGCTATTTCAATATAGACAGTAGATGACTACAATATTGTACACAAGCTGCAGTCTGTGCTTTAAGCTGGTCATAGATTGTGCCAATTTCAATTTTTTTAAATCACATTTTCAGACAAACAGTGATGATGGCCATCACTGTTTACGTATTCTGACAGCGGCGCGCCACAAAGGTTAAGGCCACTAAGTCGGCAGTGAGAATATTAGGAACTAGTGTAAACCAATCCACCTCAACGCACACACAGACCAATTCTATTCTTCTTATATGGTAGAGCAATTCATGTGACTTCCACCTACCCTGGAGAATCATACATCCTAGAGGAAGACCGGAGATTCATGCATCCTGGAAATGTTATGACTTCCTCTGTCTCTACAAAACATGACCCCTGTATTTGATTTGAAAAACATGGTATATGCAAGGTAACTGAACCCCAGGCAAAACATTTTAATTTTTTCTTATTTCGGTTTACTAAGCAGAAGGGTTGTTAGGTTGTAATTGCTACAACAATAAACTGGCCTCACGAAGAACGTTTAATCCATTTACTGAACAAAAACCAAAATCTATACTCACAAACAAGTGTAAAATATTGCGCATATAACAGCTAAACCTGTACCAGGCAGGAGAAAAGCATTGAGCAGGCAAATTTCCACAGCACACCTATAGCGTCCACACAGCAGGTTGTGTAATGGCTGATGCATTTCTGGGGTCCCAACCCTTTTCATAAGAGCCATGGGTTTTAATTGTTGTTTGTGCCCCTCCCTCCCCTCCCCCCCCCCATTTTACCTCTAGATCTCTCCTGGTAACAAATTTCAAAGTTTAGATTATCAATCACTTTCTCTCAAAGTGGCAATAGCCCCCATGAATAAAATTGCTAGAGTTTCTAACTCTGTTTAGGACTAGACACTATTTTTGGGTAGTTCCCTTTTAATCCTGAGCCTAGTAAATGATCATACAGTATGTACACTTTACCATGCTACATACAATTGCGTTTTTACCCCTCTGTGCATCCTGTCACTGATTTTCCTTTCTTCTCGTGTCTAGGTGGTCCTTGGCACCATAGCAGATACATACTTATACATAGGGATACATATATGTAAATGGTATATGCAATTGTTGATATACTTGTTTCTTAGTGTCACAGCTTTCACCAGCACTTACTCATCTATTGTTTTAAATTTTGCTGACACATTAAGAATTAAGTTTGAAATATTAAGAATTTGTTCTACAAGCAATGCACCATAATTTATACAATGTGGTAGTTTATTGGTGAGATTTTCACTTAGGTGTGAGCAGCTTTATAGGGTTATTTATAGACACATTGTTTCAAGTGCCAAAGATTTTCCTTTTTTGATATTTTACTTTATTGTTACCTATTTTGTATTGATATTGTGCCCATGTATAGTATACGATTTAACATGGTTATTGCTGCTATTGTTTGAACTAAACTTCCATTGCAGGGCTTTTTTCCCCTATACAACAAATGCCCACTTTACAGTACTGGTGTACCGGTGAGTGTTTGGTCTATTTCAGGGCAGGTCACTACTTGGGGGTGGGAAAAGGACACATTTATCCTGCAGCTCTCTAGGGAATAGAACTACACAATTCTATAAAAATTTACCACAATCACTAAGACCTTGCAAATCTGATTTATTTCACACATCCTGTCCTACCATGATTGTCTGAAGTTTTATGTACAGCTCTTGCTGTATGCATCACACACTGTGCTTCATTGTATGTTTTTAGAGTGGTCACCATGCTGGAGAGGTTGCAGGGGTGTATAGTATGCACACAAATGGCAGTATGTTCTGAGCAGTTGAAGGAGTCGTAGGAGGATGTGTTCATGTGTGACAAAATTTGTCACATACCAATGCATTGTTTTGAGTGTGAGAGTGTGCATCCTGTGCATACGTCTCTGCTATACATTTGTCTTTTACAGTCTTTTGCATTTTGTTCATTGTCCCCCAGATTAAAGACATAATAAGTAGGTATTACTCATTATAACAAACCCTTTAGTCACTGATTACAATGAGATTTCTTTAATGAACCGAGAGAAGAATCCAGGCTATGCTCTCATACATTATTATTCCTAATAGAATATTCTGAAGGGCTGCACATTAAAGAGTAGGATAAAGTGCATATATTGTGCTTGTTTACACATGGCCAAGTAAAGCAACAGACCAAATAACAGCATAAAATATAGAATTGGCATAGTACATGATTTCTCACAATTAAAAAGGATTTAAGTGAAGCAAATAAA